AAATTTCCTCATGTCGTTGTCGTCATCGTCATCGTAATGACAATGACGCGAATCTATCAACGGCGGGTAGTAATGTCTTACTCTTAATTGTAGTTTATGACCAAACACTCAAACGCTACTAAATTTTAAGATGTAAAGTTACACAATGGTGTCACAGTGACTGACTTAAAGTGATAGACACAGTACAATACTTAACGGCATCTCAAAATTGACTCCATCTCTCCATTGACTGATCACTCCAAAATAAGTGGGGGCGTATCAGCATTTTAACTGCCCGGTACTATTAACTTTAAATGCTCGGTACTATTACCGAGTATTTAAAACGCTGATACGTTGTCACTGATGAGGAGTAAGATAAGACTTCGTTACCAGTTAAAAACGTCTCCGGTTCACATCATCATCATTACAGCCCTTCACAAGTCCACTGCTGAACATAGGCCCCCCCAGGTAATGCCACAAAGCACGGTCCTGAGCCACCTGCGTCCATCGACTTTCTGCATGTCTTACCAGGTCGTCACTCCATCTAGTGGGGGGAGGGGTCGCCCTACACTACACCCACCGGTACGAGGCTGCCACTCGAGAACCTTTCTTCCCCATCGGTTATCCGTTCTTCGAGCTATATGGCCGGCCCATTGCCATACTTCAGCTTACTAATCCGTTGGGGTATGTCGGTCACTCTGGTTTTACTGCGAATATGCTCATTTCTGAGTCTATCACGCAGAGAAACTCCGAGCATAGCCCTCTCCATAGCTCGCTGAGTGACCTTGAGCGTCCTCTTACGGCCACATTCAAACACATCACTCAAAGTTTAAAGCATAGTAGCATTATGTTACTATTCGTTACTGTGTTGCAACCGTAATATACTTGCAGCTTGGCTCTAACAGATTTCGTACATTTTGTTCTACTACGAGTAGTTATAACGCCCGTCGCCAGCCTGAATATTTTAACGAACTTGCGACCCAATGTGTAAATTAAATAAAAAAAATTAAGTAAAAATTAAGTAAATTCTTATAGCCGCCATCACACGTGATATTTGTAAAATATGCAACTATGAAGTGTAGATGTAAGGAGTACAGACTCTGTATAAAAAAGTGTCCGTAGGAAAGCGTTAAATAAGGGTGGCGCCACTGTAGCTACAGTCTAAATTTTAAAGAACTATTTATAATTTTTTTATTGCACAGACTTTCACCATAATAATTTTTACAATAATTATTTTGCTGCTTTCAAAATTTTTATTTTCAAAATCACTCTACGTATTTTATGGCGATTTATCATACCCTGTAGCTACTCGAGCGCTGTAGTGGAGAGTTTTTGAACTGTTATTTACTGCTTACAGATGGACACATTTTCAACTATACTCTTATGGGAGATTGTCCTCCTTACCTCTATACTCCATGTTTCAACTGTTAAACAGCGGAAATATATTTTTGACTTTATTTTTTGATCATTTACATACCACAGGTGAGCCTAGCTGTATGCTCGTTTACCTCCTTTTCTTTAAAAAAGTTCAAATTATAATCTATTTATCTTTTATCTTCATTCCTTTTAATCCAATATCTCCGCAGTTATTTACATAACTGATTAAGTTGATTTTTAGCCGACTTCAAAAAAAGAAGGAAGTCAAAAATTCGATTGCATGCTTTTGTTTTTCTTTGTATTGCGTGTCACCAATTTCACTAACACTCTTTTTATTTAATAGTTTATACTTCAGGGATGGTAAAAGAAGGAAAGGAAAAATTTCCATTAGAAAACTTGGGTATGAAGTTTTTAATTGAACTATAGGTATAAACGACATTGAAACTGACACTCAAAACTTCAAACAACTAAATAGTATTATTTCACATTCTGAAGTCAGGCTTTTAATTGTTTTCTTAATTACGTCTCAGCATTGAAATTTTTATTTGCAATAATAGGTTTTTTACTTTTTATTAAAATTTAATTTATAATTTATCGATAGAGGTAGATAGAGCATATTTCTATGTGATCTCTTCTGCTTTTTCATGAAGTTAGTATGTAGTTAAGTTATTCAAATATTATAACATTATGTACTAGCAACCTTGGCTTTCTTTGTCATTTATTTCGAGCCAGTCCCATCACTAATCGTTTAATATCCCGTAGGGCGAAAGCTCTCTCAATTGCCATGTCATGTCATCTTAAACTGGTTTGCAGCTTTTTGTCTTTTATGACTATAAACAAGTTGCGTTGTTACAAGTGCGTTGACTCTAAATGCATAATAATTTGGACATTTTAGTAATCATACTGTGGCACAGCTTTGGATCGAATGTTTGTTCTTTAACCATAATCACAAATTTTCATTAAAGTATTTGTGAATTTTGGTTAACGTATAATATAAGTACTTTTCGGTCTACCCTGACCACTGAACGTTATGTCGTCTAAGCTCTTTAACCGTTTTCAAATGAGTGAAAATTTCCAATTTTATATCTATAATAATACTCGTAATTTCGTTCGTTATCGTTGGGGAAATTACGACACATCTTCTCGTCAGGTATACCTGAAAACTAAATTGTACAATTAGTGCGTGTCGCCAGTGATGACCTATGGAACCGGGACGTGGTCCTTCACTGCTGGCCTTATGAGGACGCTCAAAGTCGCTCAGCGAGCTATGGAGAGGGCTATGCTCGGGGTTTCTCTGCGTGATAAATGCAGAAATGAGGATATCCGCAGTCGAACCAGAGTAACCGTCACACCCCGACGGATTAGTAAGCTGAAGTGGCAATGGGTCAGCCATATAGCTCGAAGAACCGACAACCGTTGGGGAAAAAAGGTTCTCGAGTGGGAGCCTCGTACCGGTAGGCGAAGTGTAGGGCGACCCCCCACTAGATGGAGTGACGACAACACTATCAAACTGTGCTGCTATGTTTTAAGGGAAAATTTTGGTAACATACAAAGTAAACATAGAAGCAAAACATTGAACATAAATTTAAATAATAATAAATCTATAAAAATGAGTTTTTAAAGACACGAAAAGCACGATGTAATCGCTTAACATTGAGATCACAGAAATCTAAATAATATTGCCTTATTATTTAGATTTCTGTGAATGAGACATTTCGGATAGTCACAAATTAATTATATATTCATTATAAAAATATAAGTTTTTTTTTTGTGTAAGTACCAAAAAGACATCAATCATGTTTTTCGTTAAATTTGGGGGTCTGGACGAATTTAACCTTACATAATTTTAAGAATATGGTTTAAGACAATATAACCTAATTTAAATACCTTCATTACAATTTACCCACTATGTTGGTTTTTATAAGCAATCAAAATATGAAAATATTTTTTTTTCAAAAAGTAGCATAATCTACGGCCTTACCCATTTATAGGTGAGATGAATCATAATTTAATACTTCTACGATGTATTATAAAGACGAACTCACGATTCGATTGATCACGTATAAATAAATATAATATGCTATATCTAATATGTATTGTGTTTATAGATGTATTACATATAATTTACAAAATTTAACTATTTGAACACAGTCCTCGGTAGTATAGTGGTAAGTATCCCCGCCTGTCACGCGGGAGACCGGGGTTCGATTCCCCGCCGGGGAGGACTTTTTGAACAAATTTAGCACTTAATAATTACAACTCCAAGCCGTTATATGACGTTGTTTGTGTTTTATTTTATTTTTTATATTATCTGTATTACTTTGTAGGTTCTATATTAGTCAAACGCTACGACATGTGAATGATGATAAAGATGATGACAATGACAATCACGATAACAATGATGATGAATCTTCCCCCAATCTTTCTCGTCGCAAAGTTTCATTCTAACCCACTTATTAATTAGTTACAGATTTATTATAACGGATCTGTAAACTGAAGTGGTAATGTAGGTGGATAAGATAAACTACCTAATAAGGAATACAAAATAAACATAGGTAGCCTGGGAAGTACTATAAGCATCTATTTTAAATATTTAAAATAAGAATTCTTTGATTCTATTGTTTTCTTAATTAATAATGGGAAAATATTTAAATTAAGTCAAAGTTAGAACTTTATTTAACGAAAAAGCTAATTACAGCAATAATATTGTCGACAATAGTACGTTGAAACATTTTAGGACCATTTTTTGGTAAAATAATGTGTTAAAAAGCCTCAAGAAGCATTAGTAGGGGTAGCTTGATCAACTACATGTGACACGCCATCGGGGAATAAAAGGCTAGTGAAATTAATTTAAAAATAAATTTATTATGGGAATTATTGCAAGTAAATACTTGTGATGCGAGTATATAAATGGCTACCACAGCCAGCTTCAGACTATACTTGCTTTAAACCTAGCATATAACCTATATTTTATACAAACGGTTATAAGCCCGATGTTAGATTCTGAAATCGATTTCAAAATTCGTTTTTATAAATCGATTTCAAAAGCGGCTCGTCATAAACCTTGCTATAAGTTTCGATCGATAGTCCAGTTTTGGTTTTATTAGGGAGAATAATAATAATGGAAACAGATGCATTCAAGAAAGAAGTAAATTTAGATGTGTTAGATAAAGATAATCTATAATAGTTGGTGCCTAATTAGTTGTCGTATCTAGGCTTACGACTAACAGAAAAGTTTTGTTTAAGATTTGACTATTTACAACCCCATCGGAGTTGAGTCTTCGGCAAAAAGATACTTAAAAGTTAGCACTTATAAAACTGATGTCGTTCGTCCACCTGATGGTACGTAGCTAATGCAGTTCACGGTCCACGGATGCCTTCTGTAAGCTTACGGATGCGTTGTCACGCCTGAGCACTAAGATGAGATGACTCATACCCTGTAATTATTGTGTACATACTTTATTCGGAACACAGCATAGGAAGCACGTTTTTTTGGCGTTAGAAGTATGTAATGGGCCTACCACCTATAAAATTCAAGCTTCTTATTTTGATGAACGGTGATTGTGACAACCAAGGGGCAAAGTCAGAGAACTCATAAGTAACGTATGCATGGAAATTATTTTAAAATTTATTTTTGTTTGCAGATTCTCTGTCGGTGCACTATTGCAACCGTGAAGTGCAAGTGGCTGTTTCTGGGCCGGATAGTGAAGGTTACATCCGGACGCCCGGATATCCGCACTACTACGTGGGGGACGAATGCCGATGGAGGTTGAAGGCTAATCCAGAACAGCGCATCCGGATATCATTGCTGGATGTCAGTTTAAGAAGTAAGTGTTACTGAATGTAGCATGTTTATAACATTGATTGTTGGAGTTTGAACAGTTAAACATAAACGCACCGCGACAGAACGCCCTCCCATTTCTGAAAGGATAATGTAGTGGTCTCTCAGGTTGCTCCATTTCGATTTGGCGGGTTTAATTTTATATTGAAACATGCAGATTTATTTATGTTGAGTGGGGATCTATCTGGTAGAATGGTTTATTTGATATGTAGGTACTAAAGAGCTCGCGTCTTGTCTCTGATCCTGACTACTATGGCTCAATAACTACGTTACGGTCTTTCACTGCATTTTTGATCTTGTATGGCTTAATAACCTTACAGATGTAAATTCAAATACGGAAAAGTTTATAATAGATTATAAATATTATCTATAATAATTGTACATGCTAATATTATATAACTAGTTTGGTTCCGTAAATCGTAGATATGTACGCAGCTCATACATTATTTGTTTTAGAGTGTGAATGCGTTTTGCCCGACCCGTATCAGGGTCAATGTTATTATTTTCTGATGCTGCAGCTAAACCATTTGCAAAAGCATTATTACATTGTAAACTAGAGTGAGAGGAAGTATTACGCCAGCTTGTTTATATTCATTTTTATTTTGTTTCTAGGTATCGGACCTTTTGAAGAACAGTGCACTGATTACGTGTCGGTAGTAGACTCGAACGGCGAGTCACTTCTCTCCACTTGTGAACAAGTGGACTTGCCTCATCGGTTAATATCTTTAACGGATACCGTTGAGGTTGTAGTAGAAGCAAAATCGCAAGGCGCCTACCCAAAAAGAGGCGTTTTACTTCATTATAAAAGTAAGGCTAATAGATAAACACTAGAAATACCTCTTTTAAAAAGTGTTACGATATTGGCTTTTTATAAGAAACAAAATATTAAATATTTTTCTGCGGCCCAATATAATAATGGTTACAGTTTTTTCAAGAAAGGCCCTCCAACTCTGAACATACAAAAGGTTGTTGATGGTGATGATTTTTGCAATTCAATAATTCTACCTTTTGCACAATAGAGAGCTAAATTCCTTTCTTTCATTTTCATCATTCATTCCACAACGCCCACAATATTATTGGGTTATTAATAGCGCCATCTACTGTGTAACACGTGTTTAAATTCTTGTCATAATGAGATAGATGTTTATAAGTCTTACAATTGTGCGCTAGATGGCGCTTGTGATCAAATAGAAATTTTTAAATAAATACAACTGAAACAAATTTTGATTTTTATAAAGTAGAGTTTTATATAAATAAATAATAAATTTAATAGCCCAAAATATTAGATTGTGATATAGTTAGTAATTTTCAGGTATGGGATGTGTGACCTTACCAGCGCCATCTGACGGATATCTTGTGTACCGTAACGAAGACGTCGCTCATTACATGTGTAATGTTAATTTTGTTTTTTCTGACACGCGTCAGAGGGCGCTAATGCTTTGGTGCTATGGAGATAATAGATGGAATGGTACCGTACCTTTATGTGTAGGTAAGTTAGATGGAAATTAATTGTTTACAAGTTAATAATATAACTTTTGGAATATGTTTCATATTCATTTTATGCATGGCGTTCGGTGCATTTTTGAAATGACAATATCGGATCTGGGTTCAAAGCTGATAGAGAAGAAAGATGTTACTTCCATCTTACTTAACCATACGCTTGGCAGCTTTTAAATCGAACTGGTTTCGTAAGAGCTCGCTTAATGTAACGAATAAAGTATCATATCATAACTAGGTAAATGTGTAAGTACCTATGTCATAAATATTATTTGTAAATGTTAATTTCACCTTCTAGGTCTCCAACGACGTCAGAAAATGCACAACATCGTTTCTATCGATACTTATTGACTTTATTAAAAGTTAATCTATAAAGAAAGTTAATTTAAAAATATGAGTGCTTCAGTAATTACAGATATTCCTTCTCACTAAGCTATACTAGCTGATTGTTTCTCATTGATTTGAATTCCTACATAACTTTTCCCTCGCCAAATACTACAATACCTACTACTATAAAAAAAATGCGTTACAATAACCACGGGCCTTATGGTGATCTGTTAGTTACTGTGTATTAGTGTTTGTTACTCTATTATTATCATAAAATTAGCCCTATATAATCTTTATAAATAGTTGCATGTTTAGTCAGAATGGTCCTTGCTGAGAGAAAGTAAAATGTACGCTAGCAAAGGTGATTTTGACGTTGCGGTACGGTGGTACAATTCTTGGTCTTATTATTGCCGTATCCTAAAGAAGAACAGAAAACATGTAGGTTAGGTTTTTGCTTCTGTAACACGGCCTTATCTCTTCTTTTCACGCTGAGACAGCACTGTTTTTTCAAGAGCTGTATTTGTGCTGACAAAGGAGAGCCCATCACGTAAAGGTTCGAGTTGGTTTCATATACAAGTTGATATTATTGGTTTCGAAAACTTCATAGAGTCCGATTACGCATATATAAGCATTATGCATATGTATTTAAAAAGTAGGTTCATATAATGGGTTTCTTGGTTGAATACTTCGCCGTCACCTTATTTTAATACATCTGGAAGTTTTATGGCGGCATTCACGTTTACATATTAATCCATAACATGGGAACCCCATCCCCACGTTCACGTATTGTAATAGTCCCATTATACCGATTCTTTCATAAAGGTGTCGTAAGAGTTGATTTATAAACATGCAAGAAAGTTCTCATGGATTTCAATAGATGGCAGTACAACCATCTCGTTTACATAAATTCAGACAAGAGATGGGGAACAGCGTCAAAGATCTCTTATACATAGGTATTATCTATGGTCAAAGATGCGTGGGAGAGGCTCATTTCCAAAAGTGGACTCTAAGCTTAGACTCTAAGGGACTAATGATTACGAAAATATAAAACGAAAAACTCAAAAAAATATATTAATAAATATATGTGTATTCGGTTACCTACGTGTTTATTGTTAGAAAGACACATTATTTTTTTTTATAGGATAGGGTGACAAACGAGCACACAGTCCACCTGATGGTAAGTGGTTACTGTGGCCCATAGACATCTACATCTATCCTCAATTACGAATCAAAATGCAGATGCGTTGTCACCCGTGAGGACTAAGATGGAATGCCTCGTTTCCAGTAAAAAGGGTCTCCGGTTCTCTACACTCACCATACGAAATACAGCAGCATTAAGCTACTATTTCACGCTGTGAGAGCGTGGTCCCTCCCCGGTCGAGCCGACCCACTCGTGCTACAACTATACTACTAATATAACTGCAGCATGGCTCTACCACGTATGAATTTATTATTATTATATTTCTGATCATGTTTCTTTTTTCAAAAAGTAAATAAAATGTTCTAGTATTGCATTTTTTTAAATTAATTGGTAACAACTCCGTTTTAAATTGGTACCAGTTGTCACAAACTATTAAAGTTGAGACCTTCTTATATGTTTAAAATACTTGTGCCAGAAGGTCACAAGCCATATTCTATTATATTTTTTTTTTCACTTTGGAAGGTAACTTCGTCTTTTACCGCTCTTATAAAGTAATGTAACGTTTGATTATTATTAAAACAGAGATTTGCTAGATGGACAATAACAGGAATAATCTCAACTTATACGTGGTATATTATAGTTGTACTCTCAGGTGAAGTAAAAAAAGGGTCGGCTCGACCGGGGAAAGACCACGCTCTCATAGAATACTAGCGTATAATAGCAGCTGTGTTTCGTATGGTGAGTCTAGAGAAGCGAAGATGCTTTTTATCGGAAACTAGGCATTCTATCGTAGACTTCTGGACAACACATCTGCCTTTTGGTTCTTAATCATGGATTGATGTACCTAGATATCAATAGGCCTCGGTATCCGCTTACCATCAGGCGGACTGTGTGATTGTTTGCTATCTTTATTCTATAAAAAAGACAATTTGATATCGTTTTGCAACGCACAACAAGTCTATTTAGTAATTATTGGGTAATTATTACTGATGTATTCGGTTATTAAGAAGCATAAAAAATTAGTCGAGTTGCCGAGTAGGTACCGAATAAATAAAATGTTAGTTCCGTTTCTATATTTACTGTTCATTCGCTATCAATGTTTCCTTAAATATTTCCTTATATAGCAGGAAAACGGCTGGAAACAATATGGGTAGAGAAGTTATTACAAAAGTTGTTTAAATGGCCGCCGTAATCGGAAGTTTATCGACAAAATTGGCAATATATTGAAGATGGGCCAAACCAAGGGTACCCTTAACTGATATATATATATATATATATATATATATATATATATATATATATATATATATATATATATATATATATATATAATGGACGTGAAAGATGCGAGTGAGGAGAGAGGTGTGACATGATCGTGAAAAATGGAATCCCGTAGTCTCTAACTACCCCTTTTGGTGTGAGAGTTTATGTATTGTTATTAAAAATAAAAAGAAAGTCATAAGGACTTATGAATGGATGTTATTTGGTAAAAAAATCTTAATTTTATTAAAAGCATGAAGTTGTAGGTGCAGACCTATATTTCGCGATCTAGTTATGAGCATGGGTTCCATTATATCAATTGTAATCATGAGCGCGTTAAAGTAGAATGTGAATGACGCATTAATTTTTATACGTCTCATAGTCGTATAAAAAAGTAACTTTTTTATACGTTCTTGGGGTCTCTCCTATTATAAGCCGTAATCGTTCTCTATGCTTGGCTTGGATATTTAAGATTTGATATAAACGCCACCTATTGGAAGCCATAAGAGTTGTCCGTCATAATTTACCAGTACTTTCTTGTGTTTTTAGGTTTAAAGTTGCAAATCACGGGATACCTATATTTTTTATATTCCGTGTTGCTAATCGTCCTGTTTTTCCACAGAGCACGTCCAGTTTTGGGGGTGTCCTGGGGAGTTCTAGATAGTTTTTATTGAGTGTCATTGGTTTTTAGTGTCGAAGGAAATCGGTGGAGTAAAAATAATATAGTGTTAAATATTTTTTTTTTCAACATCGTATCTAATGGTCATAAATAGAAAAATATTGTCTACTAAAATATTCGTCGTCATGAGGGGAAAATATATTTCAAAAACATAATAAGTTACATTTTAACAAAACACGCAGGCAACGGAAAAAAATTATGGTCCAAATTTTTGACAAATTATGGTCACGATAAAATTAGGCTTAGGTACCTACCTATTTATTTTACATTTTCTCGTCTTTAAACTTTGTGATTTGAATGAATATGACTATGGACATAGTAATGCAGTTATTTTTGAATTAATTAACAAGTTTATTATTTTATTTTGGTGAGCATTCATTGGGCTGTAATTAGATATATGACGTGTATTATATGTAGTGCATAATGTCAGCCGTCAGGCTGTTATTTGGTTTGAGGTAGGTACCAAATAAGAAGTACCTAATTTCAGTCACGAAAATAAATCAGGGTTGTCATAACCTGGAACAAATACTATTAATTAGAACAACTTATTTTGAGACGTTGTATAATAGTATTTGTCATTTTTTGTTAGATATTTGTTTTATATTAAGAATATCGTATATTTTAATAATTTTTTGAGCAAGAAAAAATAAGCAAGTAATTATAACTTAACATACACTTAACGTACATAAACGAAAAACTCATGAAACTAAAGTACCTAGCTCAGGCTTTGCAGCAATACTAAGGAAGGATGTCATGTTCAGCTGTGGACTTGTGGTGTGCTGAAATGATGACGTCGAAACATTACTTGGATAATTAATTTATATTAAACCGACGTGCTACATAAGTACATATTTATCACAATTTGTTATAATAAATTATTTAGTGTAAAAGAAAAATCATATTTCTTAAGTGTACGTCTTTGATTATATACATGCCACGTATATATATAATCAAAGGTGTACGTAGTAAAACATTAAAATTATTGTTTCACATTGGATGTTGTTGTTACAAGTTTATTACTACGCACTCAGATGAAGTTTTTTTTTACTTCATCTGAGAGTCTGAGACTGTGCATCTAACACAGATTACTAAGAGGATACTACGCATGCATTAGGTACACAAAAGGACGACATTTGTTACATGTTCACATATTAAATAATGTTACTCAGCAAAAAGGGTGGCTAGAATTTGAGCCATTACGCCTTTTTTGTTTATTGTTGTTTTTAAAATAATGTAACTGTAAATTAATGTTCATTACATTTTTGGATAAGTAAACTATCTATTAAAACAACTTTTTTAAAAATATTGTGCTCTTAATCTTATTAAAATAGTACGAATTTTTAAATCAGAAAATGGTATTAAAATGCTGCTAATAGGGGAGTCTACATTCATTTCATTTCTTATATAATTTAATTGAAGATATCTTCACGAAATTGGTAACTTAATAAATATCTATAAGGTATTTATTGCATTTGCTCTTTATTCTTATACTGCGTCCTATTTTTAAACCGAAATGTCCCGGTGTTTCCACCATTTAAAACCTGGTTTTCAGAATTTGGAGATGGCTAACTAATATAAAGAATATCTACTCATTTTAAATTAAGAAGTAAGTACATAATAACTAAGTAGGTAATTGTTTTCTGAAGTTGTCTTTGATGGTAAAGTTATATAGAATAAATACAATAATAAAATGCTTCCTCTATCATCTAAAAAACACGTAAAAACTAAAAATTAAACCAATATAGAAATAATTCTATATCATAAAAAAAACACATTTTTTCAATTTTAAACATCGTGTACGAGAAAGTTTGAGGTTACCCTTTCATGGTTATTCCACTATTATTTTACAAACACATGCGCAATATGCGCGATCCACGTTTGTCTCTTTCAGATGACTAGAACATCCCTGTGAATAAATGCAATGGCACGATGTTTGTCGGTTTCTGAATGAGTATTTGCAAACTCCTTTACCTACAGTAAAAAAAATACTTTATCACGTTGTGATAGGACGTTCTTTTGTTTGTCAGATAATATTATTATTTTCTTCGTAAAGGGCTTTTGCTTCAACCACGTTTCGGTAAATATAAGCGTATTCCGTTCAGCTTCAGTCTGTACTCTGTATTCGAGTCCGAGTACTGTTTCGACTTCCGATCCGTGGTCAGTCGCTGTTGCGTTCAATCGTTTACGATACGTTTATTGTGTGATTTGAGACGAGAAACCACGTGTCGACATACGAAGTGAGTTTAATAAAACTACATAGTGTTATTTATATTATTGATATGCTATGAAATTGTTATCAGTGCTTTTCTTCGTAGTTTTTTAATTGTTACTCTATCATTTAAGTGAACTTTAATGTTTCATTAGTATTTGTGTGTAACACTATTATATTTGCATTATTTTTCGAAATTATTTTTGACGTTTTAGCCCTTTCCACTATTTTACACCTATGCCTTATGTATATTCTAAGCCTATGCATCTCTTAACTTTAAATGTAAAACAACTAAATAAAATTACTTTATTTTCAGGTTTAGATTTACAAAATTTTTATTTTTTGATATCAAATTGTGTACCTACTATTCAAATGTGCATTGTAATTGTGGCTCCATATTATCTTGGTATGATAAGAATTAATTCGATATTAATTTTATCAACAGCCAATTTGTTATCAGAACTAAAGGCATAAGATTTTTATATTTAAACTAATAAACGTAAAGCACGTAATTGCATAAAATTTTGCCTTTGTGCTCGTTATACTCAATGCAATATATAAAAGTCGTCTATTGAAAAATATAAACAACCGGCTCTACGTCAGCTGGCATTCAAAATTCAAATACCTAATTTAATTTTAGCTACACGTTAAAAACGTCGTTCCTTCGGAGTTCATTACTTCTTCAGTTTTCTTTTGATGTGCTCCAATTTTTCTTTAGGTTTATACCGAAACTTTTTATAGGTATTACTCGTTCAGTAAACGTCAGTTTACATAGTAATTAGAGAACGGTAATCTATTTCTTTAAGAACTTATACTATAACTAGCTTGCCAGGCAGACGTTGTTCTGCCCTTTTCGACTACAATTGGTCATGTCCTATTAAAAATCCTTAAATTAGCATAAAAAATTGTGGCCAAAAAAACTACATCCTATCTCTCAAGTTGGACCAAACTGCACACGGTGTGCATAGTTTAGGAGTCCATCGCGGACGAACAACGTGAGACGTAATTTAGGTATATAATATATTAAAGATATATTAACATTGATAAAGGAATAACGCTGTTATTAAAAGAAATATTTCACCAATGATAAAATTTATATTGAAGTTAAATTTATTAAATTAATTTGATTGTAAATGAAAATGACATTGCAAGTGTGATTTTATTTATTTTTAACTCTGACCTCCAGTGTAGGCACCGACGAATTTGTAAATTGAATTTTACATGCTGATTAACTAAGGATCAGGTTAGTGAAGAATATTTGCAGAAACTTGCATGTCTGAAAAATAAAAAATGTAATATTGAGGATAATCTGAAGTCCATTAACTTGCTGCTAATGCTGCTTAGCCGACTCTACTTTGCTCTATCAAAATTGATATTCCGTGCTTTGTAACCTGCAGTAGGGTTTAGCATAATGAATCTTTTAATAATCATATAACGTTACGTTATACCTTGGGTTGACTTGTACTTGCAAAATTTTTTTTTGTACTTGTTGGAATATGTCTGAGTAATACACGGCTAGAATTGTTAAAGTCATTTCACTGCATGTGCCAAAGGTCAGAGTACAATCATCCACTAATCGTCCAGTTCAATTACTGTTTTAACCATAAGCCAGTGCTTGACTTTTACCAACTGATGGTAAATGGCGATGAAGCTGTATTTTGTTCTTTTTCGTATTGTTGCTCTGTAATATAGGTAAGTGTCCCTCATAATTTCGTTCTGTTTCTCAGTCTTAAATCTTAATACATATATGTCACAGTTTTTTTGAAGTTTACTTTCGATATATCCTCAGTTTTAGGATGAGAAAAAAAAATTAAAATAATATACTTTTTCTTTAATTTAACTTTCCATACTCCTAAAAAGTGAAGTAAAAAATATTTTTAGATATTAGAATATTTTCTCGTATCCAACACAAAAAAATAAACAACCGAAATTTTTGTATAAAAAAGTGGTAACATTAAAAAATTCTGCAACTGACTTCAATATAATTTAAATGAGAACAACAGTCAATTAAATGCGCATTATTAAGGATAATTCAAAAACGACTAGTCAAATCTTGGTTGAATTTATATGGGACCACACGAGATATCAGGTTTCAGATAAAAGAGTCATCACAATCGGTTCACCCAGAGAAAAGTTCTGAGGTAACTTAAAAAAATATACAGTTGAATTGAATACTTCCTCCTTTTTAAAGTCGGTTATAGTTAAAAATCAACCGTGAGAGTGATTGTTTTGACTTGCCTATAGTTGGCTTTTTGGAGTAAAATTGGAATTAGGTACGGAACGCCCGAGGGTCTGTGTCTGTCTATCACAGACGTTTTCCTCAGAGATCGTTTCACGTAAATAGGTGATTTTAATTGAAATTCGTTGGAAGTTAAAATATGCTTTACTAAAATACAGTCGGGGAAATCAAAATTAGAATTTTTCACTTCGTTTCTTTTTTTGGAAGAAATTGGAAGTTAAACTATTAGCATAGAGCATTTATTCCTGCAACAACAATTCATCCATTTAAATACAGATGAAACTGCGAAAATTTTCGACGTTTTTTACTTAAGACGTTTCCTCTAGCGAAAGACCTTGAGCGTTCGGTCCTATACAATCCACGCGCTCTCGCTACAATATATCGCGTAAAAATACGCCCGAATATTTGGAATTATTTCAATTAAAAAAGATAAGCGAACTTAAGAAATGAAATAAAACGTGTAGAATATAGATTTTAAAATTATCTATCCATTAGTGTAATCCTCAAATGATTAGAGCGTTTCCTTTAGCAACAGATGCATGCAATCAATAATTTTAGACATTTTTTAAAAGTAGATTTTAAATGTATTCATAACACATAAAAACAAATTAGATCGTGGAATGTGATGATAGGATATCGAACATTAATAATGTGCTTTTAGATGTAGCTTATTTCTCATAACTAATGAGATAATATCTCTGAAAACACACTTTTGCAAGGTTTGGTCAGGGTACTTGTAGTTCGCTTTCATTATTCATCATAATTACCGTCTGTCAAAGTCCACTGCCGTGTCTCCGTAAATTGCCTTATTGGAGCGATATTTACTATAGTCGCTACGCTTGGTGGGTAGAGTGGTAACCGCGGTTTTTTTATATTTTGAATTGGTATCTGGAAGACGCCGCTGCCCATCTCCAGTTTCAATTTCTCTCTGTCGTCTTACCATTTGCACTCACACTAAATCTTTTGCCGAACGTTGATCTTTTCTTGGTTTGCAAATTTTCTCCTTCAACCCAGTTTATACTAAATACACGCCCGTAAATATCTATATATTATAATAAAAGTCGGCTAAGGAAAGCCCCTTTGAGACCAAGTCAATATTCGACTTCGAATTTTCTTTAACTTTAACACACACCTTCGCAATGCTTTATTAATCTTTGTTGTTATGTTGATGTATTTAAAGTGATGGAAGAAAATTTGAATCTAAAGACCTTTTTCCTTTAAATTAAATTAATTGATATTAATAAAAAATACGAAAAATGTTTAAAATGAATGCAGATTTTCCTTTTGTCACGTACGCTAGGATCAAATTCAAAACATAATTTTAAAACGAGTAAGGGTGAAAAATTACCACGTGTGCCGTGTAGTGGCGGCTTAAGAGAATCATCTACCTCTTATCATGCCGTGAGTGCTGGGTCATCTTCATGATAACAGCTGCAAGGAATAAATAAACTGTGGTTGGCATATCTCCTGCCAAGCCACACCAAGCTATGGCAAATATCCGACCTACGAGACAATGCATGGGCGAGGCCTATTTTTTATAGGATAAGTAAACGAGCACAAAGTCCACCTGATGGTAAGTGGTTGCTGTGGCCCACCACACATTTACATCTATCCATCCTAATCAAAATGCGGATGCGTTGTCAGCGTGAGGAATAAGATGGAATGCCTCTTTTCATCATACGAACGCAACAGCGTTAAGCTGCTATTTTACGCTGGTATCCTGTGAGAGTGTGGTCCTTCCCCGGTCGAGTCGACCCATTCTTACTACTACTATACAATTAATATAGTTGCAGTATGGCTTTAACACGTTAAATACGCCTATGTATAACAGTGCACTGTTGCTTTTAATAAATGACAATGAACGAGTTCACTTAGTGGTAAGTTGATGTGACTAAACGTAATCCAAATGCAAGAATGCAATGATATCCCTGAGCACCAATCATTAAAAACGAGTTTCTCCGGTTCTCTACGCTCATATCACGGAATAGAATATAGCAGTATTATGTGGATGTGTGATAATTTTGAATGCGAGAACCTAACAGAACCCTATCAGATAATTATTAGCGCAACAGCTCTTTTTGCTGGTCTATACTTACCCTTGGATTACAACGGTATTCTTAAACAGATGAAAACGTTAATGAAAACGAATTTTAATAGATAATTTTCTTTTTTATAGAATAAGTGTGACAAACGAGCACATAGTCCACCTGATCGTAAGTGAATGCTGTGGTCCATAGACATCTACATTTATCTTCGATTAAGAATCAAAACGCTGATGCGTTTACACCCTTGAATACTAAGATGGAATGCCTCGTTTCCAGTAAAAAGGGCCTCCGGATCTCTACCCTCACCATACAAACCACAGCAGTATTAAGCTGCTATTTTACGCTGGTATTCTTTGTTTCTACCACATAAAAATGATGGTATTACTTTTAGTGGTATTCAGTGTTCTGTTGTTTTATTTTCAAAATAACAAATTTATGAAATATTCGATAAAAGCTTAAGTTAAAGAACATAAAACTAATGTTTGGGTATGTGAATATATTCAGAGCCGCCCTCGCTATTACAACAAATTTAATAGACCACAAATCCCCGCAAAAGAACATCGATTCCTGTCAAGGAAGACTCGTGTGGCCATTAAAGGTAATGAACATCCTGTTTTCAATCCAGACGTGCCGTGGTAGCTAAGTGCTTCGGAACCAATAAAATTGTTAATAGTAATTTTAAATGCTGAATTACCACGTGCTTCATAAAACATTCTTGGCAGTTTCTATTAAGCCGAGTGTAGGGTCCCCATTAGATAGAATCACGACCTGTTAAGAGATGCAGAAAATCGATGTATGTGACTCAGGACTGTGTACTTCAGCAGTAGTGCTGATGACTTGATTCGTGATGTTGCACTTGATCTATGAGAAAATAAATTGCAATTAATGTTGTAGTGTCATGTACGTTACCGAATACTTATACAGTAAGAGCTTCTTATATTATAACTAACAAGTTCGTTGTGTAACAACATTTTGCCATGTAGTGGCGTTATAAGAATATCCACTATCCCATATCATCCCGTGGATGTCGTAAGAGCAACAAATCAAGAGATGGGCAAAAGCGTTTTCCTAATAAGATATAAAAAAAGTGCAGTTCCTAACCAGTTTGCCAAGCGTGGCAATTATGGGAAATAACCCCGCTATAAGGTAATCTATGGGGGAGGCCTATGTTCAGCAGTGGACTTTAATAG